AGTACTGTAACTATGCAAGTTCTAAAGGAATCAACTTAGACATAATGTATCTTGGTTTATTAAGCTGAAATATACATACACCTTGTGCCAGTACTCTGGACTCAAGAGAATCTTTTACAGCTTTTTTAGGTTCAGCAATCAAATATATTTTTAATTTCCTAATATATCTGAACAAAGTTATCAGATTGAAGAAAAAACAGGATGAGAAAACAATGTCACAGTTTCAGGTTTCAACAAGTCAAATTGCAAAGGTAATTAAAGCAACAGATTTGTTCAGCTCCAGCAAGTAATTAAAACATATTGCCTAAACCCAGAGAGGCTTTTAAATTTTAATACAATACTGCCTATCTTATCTATGTCATTAACTGGAGCATCCTTAAAATAAGAGTGGAGAAAATGAGCTTGATATTGGTTCACCTTAACTAGAGAAAAGTGACTTTCATATATTCCAAATGATCAGCTTAAACATGAAGGCAAAAGGTGCAGTGAGAAATCTTATATATGCTAGATAAGTCTGCTTTTCAGCTGAAGTCCCCTACTTCAGATAGCAGTTTTAGTTTTTTTATAAGATTACATTTTATTTTAATTAAAATCAATAAAATCAATTTTAATTAAAATCTAAATATTGTGTTTGAGAAAGAAGCCAAAATAACAGCATATCCGTGACATCATCTAACTTACATCATCTAACTTACATATTTGCATTCTATGCAATCCAAGTATATAAATCATGGCATTTGAGCAATGACATTACATCTTTGTAGTATTTGATTTGTAACTCACTTTTCATTTTAGGAGCTCAAGGAGGTATGCTTCCTCTATACGAAACATCTCTGTGAAATAAGCTGGGCTCCTACTGCCCTTCCTACATATACCTACAATTCACATGACCCAAGAGCCTTTTTTAAAATATTCGTTATAGGTTTGTACTTAAACTAAGCAGAAAATTATTTAATAAAATTACACTGGGATTTCTCAAATCACTTATAAGAAGTTATCAATTTGATTCAATTTATTGCAGTCATAGACCAGCCAGACATTACCATTTTTAGGATCCTAACTTAATCCTGGCTCCAATAGAAGAGAATGTTTATTGCTTAGGTTTATCATGGCTGCCTGTAAAAAAAATACTTAAAATTTCAGTGTAGTTTTCCAGAAAATTTTAATAATCCAGATTGAAAGATGTTTTATGAAAGCTCACAAATATTTAAAGATGCCTATTTAAAATATATTTAATAAAATTTTGTAGAGAAAAACTGAAATAATAATTAAATTATACATTTACATTGTATTACATAATTTATGGATACAGAGATTAATTATGTGAAAATATTCAGAATTCATCTCTACTTTTATTTTTTTAAGATTTATTTTGTCTAAATCATAAATTATACATTTTTAGAGAAAAGGTGGGCAATCCATAACAAAGCCTACTGATTACTGTCAAGCCCCCCCCCCCCCCCCCCATAGTACTCAATGGTCAGGAAAAGAGTTTTGAAAGCAGGACGTCTGCAGAACAAAAAGAATGTCCATCTCTTCTTTAGAAAATATGGCTAACATAAGCCAATATCTGGAAATAATTCCAATAAATATTATCCTCTTAGAAGGTAATCAGAAACATATACAAAAAAGAGTAAATAAGGAGCATGAGAACTGAATTGTGCATACAAAATATTTGTTTGAATATTAGACCGAGATCAGTGAAAGCAGCTCTGACAACCTTGGCAAAGATCAAGGAAACAGTCAGTAAACTAGTTCCTTGGAACCTCTCTAGACAAAGGAGGGATGGGAGATTGCCCACATGTGCACCAGACAGCTGCTATTTAAGAGACTGTAGAAGCCTGGTTTTCCATGAGTTTCAGCACCTGGAGACAATATGATTAGCCATCTTGCTTGCAACCGTCAGAGACTTTTAGAAGTGCAAACTTCATTTTCTACTCACTTTCGAAAATCACCATTTACTTGTAATCTATTAGACAACTTTGGAATGTTACTTTAAAATTGAAGTGAGCCTGTCTTCAGTGCTGAATGAAAGAAAATTTTAATTGAAAACTTCAGATTTTAAAGAATCTGAAATAAACAGCAAAAAACTATATGATTTCGATCTTAGAAAATTATAAATGAACTAAGGGTCCAGATTATTTTGGAATTAATTATAAAATGCAACCAACTCCTAATGGGAATGAATCCTGTTTTGGTTTTTACAAGAAACATAAATAATTTCACTATTTCAAAAAGTGGACACTAGAGGGGACAAAGATTTTAGATAGAGAAAGGCTGCAAGACAAAACAAAACACTGTCACAATAAAAATACTAAAGGAGACTTTTGAAGAACAGAATCCGAACATAGTAACTACAATATCAACAACGTCAGTAATGACGTTTATTTCTATGGACAGATTATATCCAAAAGATGTTATTGAAGAACATAATGTATCTGACAATGTAGACATGGTACCAAAAGTGGATTTACAGAATCCACTTTATAGGCCAAGAAACTGACTTAGAAAAGAATGCTTCCTTAGATATACAAAAGGAACTAACTGGCTACAGTTTTAATAAAAGGGCAACACAAATGACAAACCAAGACAGTGACCTAAGTAATGGTACGTAAGAAAGCCTTGGGACAAATGCTGCCTAAGGAACAATCAAATAGGAGAAAGTATATACCACAACTGGGCAGAGAGAGTGGGAAGGAATCCTCCCTAACTTCTCAGAATGTAAAAGAGACAGCAGATTTGTACTGGCAAATTTGAAAGATTCTGTTACTGTATGCAGCTTTACAATAAAATATTAGTCTGGTCTGCCTGGGAAGGTTGACACCTGGATTTGTTTTATAGATAAGAGATGAAGAAATAAATGTCTGTAATTTTAGAGAGGAAAGGTTACTAAATTTGTTTATACTTGTTGTGATGAAGGTTAGAAATAACTTCTTTACATACTTCTTAATTATATTCTTACTTGTTTCTTACTTTTTCCTTGCATTTTTTACTCCTTTCCACTCTCTTTATTTTGTATTAGATTTTATTGTTATAATCAACATTCTTAAATATATATACACACACAGACTTCCACTTTTTTGTTCAATGAAATGAACCAGGAAAATATTGCAGACAAGAAAATTCTATGAACACGAGATAATACATTTTCCAACGTTTTTTCCTACAAACATAACTATTAGATTAAAAAAAATAGCATGTCTATATATTCAAATCTTTAGAAAACAGGGCTGCATCCAACTGTTGTCCCTCCAGCTCTCTGACAGTGGAATTGGGAGAAAAAGTTTCATGGTCATTTACATTTCCAAATCATTTCTATTCCTACATTTCAAACTATTCCTTATCTTTTCAGAGCAGAATAAGTGGAGAAAGAAAGAGAAAGAATTGCTGCCTATCATCTCTGTTGCTGACAACCTCAACCAGTTCTTTTAGTATTAAGGTTCCAATAGAGCAGGGGTGTCAAATTCAAGGCCCGGGGGCCAGATTCAGCCTGTGGGATGCTTAGATCTGGCCTGTGGGGCTGCCCTGGAAACAGCAAAGGACTGGTCTGTGGTGCCTCTGCCAGTGGGCGGCCCTCCCAAGCTCCATTTTCACTGGCGGAAGGTTGCAGGAGGCCATCGCAGATGAAAACAGAGCTCGAGAGCCTATTTTCACTGGCAGAGTGCTCGGGCCACTACAGGTGCCCCTGACACAAGTGACGTTGAGCTGGCCATGCCCACCTCGGCCCCTGAAGTCAAACACAACTCTGATGCAGCCCTCAATGAAATCTAGTTTGACACCCCTGCAATAGTGTCGATGCAACTGTAAATGTATTGGGCTTGGACTTGATTCAAATTCATTCTCATCTTCAGAAGCTCACTTTGGGCCAATCATTTTCTGACAGCTCAAATTCCTTCATAGGGAGGTTGTTGAAAAAATTGAGGAGGGAATGGTACATATGCCTCCTTTTGACAAAAGGAAGAAGCAACTACAAACAAAAATACATTTATTTTTGGAGAGTTCAGGTGCTTTACATGTAATACTTAATACATAATAATACTCTATATTATCTAAGGCTAGATTTGTAAAGTCAGTTTCTAATGTAAAGTCATCTAATGTTGAATAAAATTGAGTGTGACCCTTTTCAAATTTTGTTATAATTTGTATTAAATAAGTATACTGAGCTACAGAAATTCAATAATATCCGAATTAGGTCTGGTATTTTACTTTTTTTTCTTGAAATAAGCTGAATTGTTTTTACTATTTCATACATTTTTAAAAAAGAGAAACTGATAAAGTATAAACAATCTAAGTTCAGAGTTTATTATCTCACTGATTATATTGCTCGTTGGTTTTTGTCAGTCTTTCATTCTGTTGCATTTTAAAAGTTTGGGCATTTAAAAACTTCCCAACTCCATTTGCTAAGATTCTTAATATGTTACAAGCCTGCTTATAACTGGTTTTGAATTTATATGAAAGGCAGGTTAATTATTTACATATTGCCGGCACATTTGTTGATATCTTTATTACTTATTTTAGAACTGACTCAGCTCTTTGTTCAAAAACCTGACTACATTCCAGATATAACAAGATTTCGCCAATACTTTATCGCCACATGTCAAATTAGCAAAGAGATCAGACTACTGTACCACTATCTCTAAAGCTTTTATACTCCAGGACTCTCAGACATGGTTCAGAAAAAAGGCATTTGTCTTCTCTTTTGTGGATTTTTCCTGTACTGCAGTCCTTGGATGGCAGTGTTCAGTTTGTAGGATGCCACATTTGTGACTTACCTTGAAAAAGAGTCACTGCTAGAGAAAATGGGATAAAACTGCAATATTTCAAACATCAAGTCTATGACAACACATAGAAGGCTGCTTTTTCTGGACAACCCTTCTGGCCAACACAGAAACCCATTAGCATTCCACGATTCTTCAGGAAAACATTGCATTTCAATACAGACAGGCACTGTATTTCCCAGAAATAGATGGCACCCCAGAAACCGAAGGCGACAGAGTTACCTGTGTCTGTGCTGGTCGTGGCCCTGCCCGTGGATCAAGAAGCCACCCGCGTTTTTCCCACCGTCGCTGGTATCCACGTGAGGAATCAAGACGTCTTCCAAGCCCAAGTCGAACCGTTTGTGTTTCGAGGAGTCCGGCAAAAAGAAGAAGGCGCCAAAACACAGTGTGATGAAGGCACTGAGAATCAGCAGCAGGATGAACTTCTCGGACAGTCTCAAGGTAGCCCTGTGATGGGGGAAGGACGACGACGGACCCAAGTTGCGAGGCGGGATCCGGCGCCCAGAAAGAGGCAGCAGAGCCGGGGTCGTCATCGCGCCGCGAAGGCGGGCGGCGGCGGCAGCGAAGATGACACTGCTGGCTCACACCCGGGAGCGGCTACCCGTCCTCACCAAGGCAGCCCGGACCCACGCGGGGAAGCCGGCATCACAGCGGCTTCCGGCAGACCCCCGAATCCCAGAGGCCTGGGATCGATCCGGCCCGGCCGCGCTCATCCAGAGCCAGCAAAGGCGGCGCGGGCGGCAGCGGATGAAGAGGCTGGCTGGGAACCGGGGCTTCAGGGAGGCCCAGAGCGGCGCGGAGGTGGCGGTGGGAGGGGAAGAGACTCATTCAATCACCGCCACCGCACGCCCAGCTAGCCCAGGGACAGACTCGGTCTCATGCCCTTCTGCCCCGCACGACACGGCCCCCCCGGGGTCAGCCGGTATCGCGGCGGGGACTAGCGGGACGGAATTCGGCGCCGGAGCCTGGTTCCTCCGGCCAGGTAGAGGTGACACACAAGCTCTTCCACGCCGCGGCTTAAACCCTCGGCCGGGCGACGACTCGCTCTGGCATCCTGCGCGAGAGTCAAGCCGCCTTTGCGGCTGCGCGCGACCGGAAAACGGAAAGTGCTTCCTCGCTCACGCCCACGTCCGTGGAGTTGCAACGTCGAACTCGGCGGCGGGTTGTCTCGCTCTCGCGCGCCCCCCCCACGTGAAAAGGGGGAGCTGGCCGTCCTTAGCGGCCGAGGGCTACTGCGCGCTGAAATACAATATGCTTCCTTTCGTTGAAAACGTCTCGTCTTGTTCTAAGACTGCAGGGTGAGGACTTTGTTCATAATTGCATGAGCAAGTCTACCGTTTCCAACGTTTCAAGTCCGTTGCTTGAGATGCCTGTGTAGCCATTTCTCTGTAGGAAGTTAGCACCCAACTCTCTCCTAGAAAAGTGAAATATCCTAGGAAATATTAAAAAGGCAGAATATTTCCTCTAAAAAGAGTAGAAACTCAAAAGCAGAAACTCACATCAGAAGCAGAAGCTCACCCCCACCTTTGTTAATGGGTGGCCCATTAAGGCCTGGGCTAGAATACTTTACATAACAAAGATCTCCAGGTGAAACTACAGCAATTGCTCAAGAGCCCTTCTAGTGCATCATCTTCCAGCAAGGCTCAACCAAGCCTGGAACTCAGGAAAGCCTACAAAGTTAGCTAAGACCCCCGCCCCTGGGAGTCTGACAGCCAATGGGATACATTTCTTGCACAGGAACAGGAAACTAAGTTAGGGCCCAACAGAGGGTATATAAGGGTCTCTCAGCATTTTGACCAGCCCTTTTTTCTCTTTTCCTTCATCTTGAAGCATGTGACCCTTCCTTCTTTGGAACTTTGAGCCATGTGGTCCTGTCTACCATTTAAACCATCTTTCCAAATAGCCCCCATGCTTCCAGTGTCTTTTTCTCCCCTTGGAACTGAACCCAGAAGGATATTTCTACCAACATCTCCATTACAGCTATTTTGTAAAAACTTTTTTTCGTTTTTCCTATTTTTGTTTTCCTCCTGGAAGAAAATGAGAGTTTATAAGCGAAAGCTATAGATCAGAATTTTCCAAATCTGGGTAAAATAATTCAAAATTGAATAAAAAGTGGGGGGTGGTTTCCCCTTTGAGTAAGGACACATGACCCTTTACTCAGTCACAACAGGGATATTTCAATACAGTAAGAAAGAACTGATAAACGTTTCTGGGTATGACGTAAAAAGATTAGGAAGCACTGCAACAAAAAAACCCAGGAATATAATAGCTTTTTTAGACATTAGCCTGCTCCACCAGCAATGTGACTACATGCAGATCAGGGGCATGTGAAAATTCCGTGGGCAGCCGCTGCATTCTGGATTAAGGTTGTAAAATGTTTATTGCAATTTGAGGTGTGTTTTGTAGGAAGGAGTTTTCTCGGAAAATCCAAACCAGTTTCAGCCTACCTTTTTCAGCTTGGAATAAAGCCTACAATATCAGCACTTTAGGGTGCTGTAGAACTATTCAGCCCTCAGATTATGGAACATTAAAATAATGGTTGGTGTTGATGTCTCAATTTGGCTATTTTTTATTTTGGAATTTATCCAAGACAGCAAAAACTGAAAAAGATCTGATCAGGAAAGAAATTGGGAGGGAACTCTTACTGGCTATTCTTGGCTATTTTGCTTCAGGAAGCATATCCAACTGCCAGTAAAGAAACATATGCACATTCTCTGTTCATTGGTAAAAAGGCCATTTTCATGTCAACATGAGCTACCGTGTTTCTCATATAATAAGGCCGGGTCTTATTTTTTTTTGAGCCCCCCAAAAATGGCTAGGCTGTCTTTTCGGGGGTGACTTAATTTCCCCCCCTTGCATCTTTGGGCGGGCGGCGACGGCTTGGATGTTGACCTTGGTGTTGGTGGGGCACTTCGTATCGGGGTCAACGCAGGCAGCACCATATCCAGGTGTGCAACAAAAGTACTTCCTAACGGCAAGCCCCCCCACCATTCCCCCCCATTTCACATGTTTTAATATACGCCTTAATTTGGGGGGAGGGGCTTAATTTCATTTCGTGCCTATAAAACATGCTGGGACTTCCTATTGGGGGAAGCCGTATTGTTGGAGAAACAGGGTATTAAAAATAGCTTTCCAGTATAAACTCAGATGTGTACTAAAATTATAAGGTTTACTTCACCCCATCTTATTTCTTGTGTTCTACAGAATGATTCAAAATCAGGATTACAAAATAGACAATACTGTATGAGTACTGTACAGTTTCATTCAAACTTCAAGACAGAAATAAGACCTTTCCATTAAAAAAAATTGAATGTCTAAGGAGTTCCCAGTTCCTAATCTCCGCTTGTGCCAAATAATCACTTTCAATGTGGAACTAAGTTTATATCTCAATGTAAGCTTTAGATCTTATTGCATCTTGCTTTGGAGAAAATGCCCTTCAAGATCCATAACAATTATTTTCCATCAATTTGTGTAATGAAATCAAATGACAATTATAAATATGGGTAAATGTCCCACAAACTGCTTTGGACCTCCCCAATTCAAATATCTTTGGTAAACCAGATTCTTTAAAAAATATTGTACCAGTGATGACCTGGGGCGTGGCACAAACTCAACAAAGTCACAAAAATAGGTAAAGTCCCTTTAATACCTCCAACTTGGCCCCCAATGTAGTTATCATCGGTTGGAGAAAAAACTCTCCCAAGAACAGTTTTTAAAGGGAAGAAATTCTGTCTGAACCCAAAGTATATATAAATTATAAATAAAAACCAACACAAACCACGCTGCAGCAATTAATGAGACAGGGCAGGATAAGGAATTGAAGACTTCAAAAGATAACGAAACACACACAGTTGGGAGGACGGAAATCAGATAAGACTTGACAAACCAAAATAATTCACGCTTTGGTTCCAGCAAGGAGCTGTGCGCAAACACCCTTTTTATCCTGTTTTCCCAGCTGCAGCTAATGAAGGGAATCAAGGCCTTTTTCTCCCCTGTAACCAACGTTGCTCCCTTATCTGTTCCTTTCTGTATGCCCTAGGATGAAGAGGGGGTGGGCCTGGGTCTTCCTGAATGCCCAGCCGGACTGTGCCCTTCCCCAGTTTCCTCCACAGCCACACTCCCACCTCTCCCTCGGAATCAGTTTCCAACAGGGGCATGACAGTACCACTTGATCTAACACGTTGAATTCAAGGCACTGTCACATGAATAGAAATCTGACTGATAATAACTAGTATATATAGAAATATTTATATAGACATAGATAAATTTGGGGTTGCTTCTCATGACAGAACTCTCCCCTAGAATATGCAAGGAATTTTGGGTTCTAAGACTTCCCAGAAGACATTTTTTCTAATGCTGGTTGAATGAATTGTAATTATCTAGGCCTTACTCAATACACAAATTATTCAAATTAACACAAATTGCATAAGGCAATGTGTTTCGTAATACTGAAATGTAATGGTACAATTTACAAGGTCATGTTGAATATACTGTAATGTATGTTACAAGAAAGTGGAACAGCTTGCCTCTGGAAGTGGGTGCTCCATCACTAGAAGTTTTTAAGAAGAGATTGGACAACCATTTGTCTGAAATGGTTTAGGGTCCTACTGGAGCAGGGGGTTAGACTAGAGACCTCCGAGGTCCCTTCCAGCTCTGTTATGATACTGAGATGTCTTCTCTGTAGAAATATGCTTCTAAAGATATGAATGTATGAACTGTGTCAGTTCATGGCTTAACTCAAGAGGCTTATCACAAAATCACTGCATATATGGCAAAAGATTATGACTTGAAGTTGGTTTCTTTTTAGTAAATGTTCTCTGGCATGTTGTGATCATAAACTACCAAGTATTGGAAGAAGGAGCAAAAAGAACTGGAATCTTGACTAAAACAGTCCCTATTCATGGGAATAGATAATATCAGTAGCTCCAAATTTATTCTGAAAGTGCTTATTAAAATAATTGAAACTCTGGTGATAAATAGGAATTAAGAATTCAAGCTGGATTTCCTGAGACATATGATTAGGCAACAGATTTCCTCCCTCCACCCAACCTATCTATAACACATAAGGGGAAAAAGATGGTGAAGACAGAAGTTCTTATTTTTTAAAATTTGGATTTCTCTGTAGGCCTTTTTTAGCACTTTAAATTCAGTCTCTGTGAAATTTAATAAATTCCAGTGATTTATATATAACTGAAAACTAGACTTAAACTGACACTCTGGGAACTTCAACATTTAAGTTTTGCTCTTGTAATTTTATAGGATATTTTCTGATACAAATTCAAATTTATATCAGACCATTTTCTATTATTCAAGACCAACTTTTAAGAGATGATATAAGACAGACTCTAAAATTTTAAAACTTGTAGGTTTTATCTCATATTTGTTGTCTAAGAACTCTTCAAAATATATCTGGATTCCAGAAAATATGGATTTTTAGGAATATAGAAGCCATCTATATTCCGCCTGGAATGGCCCATTCCAGGTGGTGGGGATCGCCACTCAATCACGGCTTCCTGGAACAGGCTGAAAACGGGATGTGTAGAGGCCGAAAATGGGGCACGCGGAGGCCAAAAATGGGGCACGCGGAGGCTGAAAATGGGGCACACAGAGGCGGCGATGGGCGGCAGCAATCCCCACAGCCTGGAACAGCTGATAGGCGGTATTCCAGGAGGCCGATCCAACTGCCAATCAGCTGCTTGTGCTAAATCAGGCTGGGTTAAAACTGACTAGGCTGTTTGCTGCAAGGAGGAAGATTCCCCCGCCCCCTTGTTTTCCTCCCCAAAAGCTAAGTGAATCTTATAGTCTGGAGTGTCTTATAGTACAAATATATATATATATTTTATAAAATAAAGATAATCATTGAAATATTTAATCAACATATTTTGGTATTGAATCAGAGAGAGAAGTGATGGGAACTATTCTGAGAACATTCAGAATTATCAATAACAAGCTTACACTAATGCAATTTTAGATTGTTGCACTAGTAAAGGCATATGTTCCAAACAGATGAAGGAAGTGGGTGCTGTTTTT